AACAGAGGCTTCAAAGATGGAAGAGAATTAAAGGAAATGGTTTCTGCACAGATGGACTTCATCTTGGATCCTCTTAATTCTCTGCTCCATATTGGTGGCCAGGTTCTTCATACCGAAGTTGTGCAGCTGTTTAGGAAGGCTGCTGATCTGCTGCTTTGTAGCCTCACTAAGCCACTGCTGCAGCGACTGAATCCAGTCATGATCTATGACACACCGGCCTACATGACCGTCCCTTGACCCTGTTAGGTACCTAACGAAGCGTCGTAGCTTCCGAGTATTGTGATTCTTGAAGATTTCTATAAAGGGCTGGTTGATGAGTTTTACCCAACCTGAAAACAGAAACAGGACAAAAACTTCAGGTTAAAATAGTGCTTGCATCCAGTTACCTTGCCTGATTCATTATTCAAGGGAAAGGAGTCACTGCGAGTGTGCAAGAATGAATAACCCAACATTCAGGCAAGATCTAAGAATAGTGGAAATAGTTTAGTGGTTATTATTTAACCATACACTATCAGGCAATGTTATAAAGATTCACATGAGCTTGTATTACTTGTTATATTGCAGAGCTGTTGACTTCTCAAATCTGATTGGTCAGAAGTTGTTGATTCATTTTTGCAAGGCAAATCACAGGTTTATAAATACACTCATTCTAATATGTCATCGTTTCTGTACAGCTCATTCACAGGGTGATGATGTTATAATCTAAGACTAATAATAAGCGTAATAACAATGTGCTGTCTAATCATTGGAGTTCTCTGTGATGAGACGTTCATACGCACTGTGTCCAGTGTACATTCCACTGGAAGCCAAACCACAACCCCTAACTCCTTTCCCCGCCCGCCAAACCCAGCCAACATTTTGCTGTTGGATTATGCTTCCATAATTAGTCAAAGTCAAAGTCAACTTTATTGTCAATTCTGCTATATGTACAGGACACACAGAGGATTGACATTTCGTTTCCCTCAGACCCATGGTGTGAGAAACCAACATAAGACAAGTAATTAAAAAAAAGTAAAATAAAATACAACAAAAAAATAAAATAAAATGCAATATGTACACTATGAACCTACATGGCACATGTGACTGTGTAGATATTTACATTTTAGTGCAAAACAAGAGAGAGCAGCATTAGTAAAAGTGGCTTGTGCATTTGTGTGATTTGGGGTGTGTGTGTGTGTGTGTGTGTGCAGTTACAGTTCGGAGACTCTTAAGGCAGAGGGCAGAGAGGGGAGAGAGTTCAGCTTTCTGACAGCCTGGTGGCTAAAGCTGTTCTTCAGTCTTGTGGTTTGGGCCTGGAGGCTGCGAAATCTCCTCCCCGATGGCAGAAGGCTGAAGAGGCCTTGCAAGGGGTGGGTGGGGTCCCCAGCTATGCTGAGAGCTTTCTGTGTTGAATGAGTGTTGTAAATGTCTGTGAGGGAAGGTAATGTGGCATTGATGATTTTTCCTGCTGCATTCATTATGCGTTAATGCGTTAAGTGCACACCCAGAAACTTGGTGCTGCTCACCCTTTCCACAGCAGCACTGTTGATGATCAGAGGAGGGAGCTGGGTGTGTGCTCTCCGAAAGTCAACAACAATCTCCTTTGTCTTCTCGAGGTTTAGAGAGAGATTATTGTTGGTGCACCATATGGCCAGTTGTTGCACCTCATTTCTGTAGTTTGTCTCATCATTGTTGCTGAGACCCACCACTGTTATATCGTCCGCAAACTTTATGAAGAGGTTGGTGCTGTACATTGGTGTGCAATCGTGGGTTAGCAGGGTGAAGAGCTGGGGGCTGAGAACGCATCCATGTGGTGCCCCTGTGTTCAATGTAATAGTTCTGGATGTGTTGCGGCACGTGAAATTAGCTAGGCCTTTAGGGGCACCAGCAGCTTTAGTTAGGTGTATATCGGGAGCCAGGGTGCCGGACATAGCAGGTAATCTTAGGGTCTTAGGCAAGCACAGGTTTTCAAAGATAGTTATTCATGTAGGAGCTAATGATATACGCCTTCGTTAGTCTGAGGTTACTAAGAGTAACATGGTAGAGGTGTGTAAATTAGCGAAGGCGATGTCCGATGCAGTAGTATGCTCTGGCCCCATCCCAATGCGGCGTGGCGATGTAGCTTACAGCAGGTTATGGTCGCTGAACTGCTGGATGTCCAGGTGGTGTTCCGAAAACAATGTGGGCTTTATAGATAACTGGACTATCTTTGAGGGCAAGGCAGGCCTGTTAGGGCGGGACGGTGTCCATCCCACTCGGGAAGGTGCTGCTCTCATTTCTTGCAGCATAGCACATAGTCTCAGAACAGGCCTAATTAATCGGTGACAATCCAGAGCCAAGGCCAGGGAGCAGACAAGCAGGCTAAACCGACCGTCTGCTAGCTGCAATGAGTCGTCACTTAGGTTCCACCGTATTGAGACTGTGTCTGTTCCCCGAGCTAAACAAAATTATAGACATACTCAGACAATTTGTTTTAGCAACCTAATTAACATAAAATTAAATCAAACCGAATACATAGCCAGCACCGTTGATTTGAAGCTAGGACTGTTGAATATTAGATCTCTTAGGTCTAAAGCACTTATTGTTAATGAAACCATTACTGATCAGGAGTTTGATGTACTGTGTTTAACAGAAACGTGGATTAAACCAAATGAGTTTGTAGCATTAAATGAAGCTAGTCCTCCCGGGTACAGTTACATACATCAGCCCCATCTAACTGGCAAAGGAGGAGGCGTTGCAGTCATCTATAATGATAATCTAGACATCACACAAAAACCTAGTCATAAATTCAACACATTTGAAGTTCTTTATTCTAACATAACATTTGTAGCCACTAAAAATAAGTCTACCCAGGTGATTCCACTAATTATTATTTACAGACCCCCAGGGCCATATTCAGAATTCCTATGCGAATTT